GGTCTGTAATAGACTGCGTCGCCTTGGCCTCCTTGCGCACACGAAGAATCTCCTTCCTGCGGCGCTGCGTGCAAGGGTCTGGTGGCTCATCGAATTTGTCGGGCTTCGATGTTTTATCTGGGCCAACATCGGGGGCGTCGAGAATCTCGTGGCCGTCGATGAAGTCTTGCATGCTCATCGAACGAGACGGTGCAACAGAGCGACACGATGGCAGAGATACCACAGATATGTCAGATCTCGGTGACATCTGTGGAAACCCATCTTCATCGAACTTCGCCGCGTGCTCTGGGTAAGCTATGGTAGACGGCACTGTCGCCAGCGACGCCAAGCTTGAACACTCGGCCAAGTCACGCTCCATATCCTCGACCTGTCGCAAGCCTGTCTTGAACAAGTCACGCATCGAACCGCTGTCTGATAGAGCCGCGCCGCGCGGGGTCGGGGACATTGGCGGCGCCGAACCTGATAGCGGCGAATCCACAGGCTTCTTGGGATCGGGCGTCTGGATGGGCACATCGCTCAGCTGCGTGAGCTTCATCATTCCGACGAGGGCGTCGATCACGATTCTGTCGGCGGCCCCGCACTGCCGCAAAAATGGCGACGACTTCCTGGAACGGGTTTTACCGTCGCTCGAAGTTTCGTCCAACTTGATCTGCCTAACCATGCTGAAGCAATTCCTGACGTGATCGGTGATGTTCGTCGCAGTGAGCTCACTTCCGTCACTGCACACCGCCTTTGTAGCTATCATGAACCGAGACGTCCATATAACTCCATTCCACACTCCTTTTTTCATCAACGACTCCAACAGCTTATACGATCTGACCACATGAACAGGTGTCAACCTATTGATATCTGTGTTCAAAGGCTGCAGCACGGACTCGAGGGATCTGCCGCCAGCGAAATCTTTCAAGCAAGACACGTAGTCGGATTCTGCAACATCTGGGTTCGCAACCTGGCGAGGGCGTTTCGATCCCATTGTAAAGTTCAGGGCTCGTCAAAGGAAGCCAGCTGAGCCAAAACGGCTACGATGATAAGGAGGGGTGCGACTGTTGGCCTGTTCACCCCGCCCCGCTCTTTCGATTCAGACTTTCAGACAGACCCTGAACAACTGTGACACTCTGAACGCACGTGATACTAACCTTACAGACAGCTGTTTAAGGATGAGCGATGTAGATCCTGTGTAGATTTTGAAATTTACGAAGCATCTACACCATCGCGTTGTAGATTCGATGTAGATTTCAAAATCTACAACGAATCTACAACATATCTACAACATATCTGCGACATGGTCACCAGGATTCCTTTGTGGCCCCCAGGTTCCCTTGTCGGGGCCCCATGGGCCACGTGATTTCAGGGCCCCAGGGCTCCCTTCAGGGGCCAGTTGTTTCAGCGCACAAGATTTTACATATGTTTTCTGCTGGGCCCATCGCTGGGCTCGCTCGCTTCTCGCGGGCTCGGTCGGGGCTCTGTTGCCCGAGACGAGGGCGAGGCCAGGCGGCGCGGCAATCGCGCCGAGCGGGAACGGCAGGCAGCCAGCGGGGCCCCGAGATGGGGCGAGCGGCAGGACGGGGAGAGGGCGATCAGAACGAGTGCGAGAATCAGGGTCAGGAGGGGATAAGTAGCAGGGGTTGAGAGGAAAGAAAAAAGGAGTAGCACGAGGCGAACCGTTCTGCCTCGGCCTCCTGCGCGCGGGGCGCCGTGCGCCGTCCTGCGCACGGGGCGCCGTGCGCCGCGTCGAGCACTCGGCTCAATCGAAACGTAGTTTCGCTCGGTTCAATCCTTAATCAGCCCCTGGGGGCCAAAATCGACTCGGCCCCACTGGTTGCGCCAAACACACCCAAACATTTTTTGAAACGAAAACCTCATCCTTCTATCCTTCTCATTCTCTTCGAAGCGCCCTCAGCGCTGACCTAAAGCTTGATCGGCTTCAAGCCCTTGGCCGCGTCGGCGGTCTTGCTGCCCTTGGCCGCGGACTTCACCTGGATCACGATCTCATTGAAGAGCTCGACCATCTGCTTGTACGGGACGCTCATGGCTTTGAGAGCCTCCGCCACGTCCGCCTTCGAGATGTTGCGCTTGGCCTCGCCCTGGGCCACCAGGAGGGACTCGATGGCCTCGCTAGGCCCCGCCACGGCCTTGCACAAGCTGATGGCCCTCCCAGACATCAGCTTCGTGGTCTCGGAGTTGCCCCCGGCGGCCATCATCTTGGTGCCCAAGCGGCGCAGGGCCAGAGTCACCCTCGAGACCGCGTCGAAGCTCTCCTGCGGGTAGCACCCACTCCCACTCCTACTCATACCCCATGCACCTTCCCACTCCTACTCATACTCCTACCCCCACTCCTCCCACTCCCTCTCAGGATTATGAGTGGGAGGAGGGGGGGTAGGAGCATGAGTAAGAGTAGGAGTATCAGTAGGGTTGGAATAACACTAGGAGTACGAGTAGGAGTAGGAGTCCTGCATGACCGTGAAGTCGCCGTCGTCCGCCTGCGCCCCCGCGATCTTCTTGGGGACCCCCTTCTGGCACTGCTTGAACCAGTCGCCGAGCGGCTCCGCGGTGAGCTGCTCCTCCTGGTCGCACAACGCCTGCACGAACTCGTCGCTCGAGAGCAGGCCGCCCGTGTCCTCCTCGCCCTTGTAGCCTTTCTCCTGGACTCGCGTCCGCTCGATGGTGTGGGACTTCTGGTAGTAGAGCCCCGTGTCCTCTGCCTGGTAGACCTCCCCTGCGTCGAGCGCTTTCTGCGCCAAGGACTCGGAGCCGCCGAACTTCGTCCCGACGAGACTCCACCATCCAAGGCCGTGCGCCGTCTCTTTGTTCTCGTCGCGCATCATGCTGCGCTGGAAGCGTTTCACCGAGCGTGTCTTGATCAAGACACCCACACCGCCAGCAGCCTTCCTCGTGACGCAGCTGTTGATGATCTGGTTGATCTGCGCCTGCTTGCCGACGGTCTTGTTGGCCGTGTCCATCAGCTTGTCGAACTGGGCCACCAAGGCCTGATCGAAGAGGTGGCGATTCTTCGCGAAGGTGTGCCTCTGGGCACGAGTCGTCGTGCGGGAATCAGCTGCTCCGTCCTCTGCGTCCTCGTCGTCCTTGAGGGTGTTTTTGCCCTTGCCGCGCGTGGCGGCGATGCTCACCAGAGGCTCCTCGTCGGCGTCGTCCTCCTCCTCGTGTTTGTCCTGCTCGTGCCAAGCTGCTGGCCTGCGGAGCTTCGCCGCGGGCATCGCCTTGGCCGCAGCTGGGCGCTTCATCAGAAGCCGCGTCCACAAAAAGTGGATCCTTTCTCGTCAGATGGAGAAGCCCTCTGAATGGCTTGAGCCAAAACGGCAATGGCTCCTCCTCCTCCTCCTCCTCCTCCTCGCTCTCCCACCAGGGCACAGGAACCCAGGAATCCAAGACCCAAGGAGTCCAGGCGCGCGCCCCTGGGACCCATCAGGATCCTAGGGGCCCATGGGCCAACGAAGCCCTTCAACCAGAAATCCAGAACCCGAGGGGCCGAAAAACATCGGAAAGATAACGCTGATTAGCAGACGTGGCATGACGTAGCTCAAACTTCGCGGCTGTGCCCGCATACGTTAACTGCGAAACAACATCCCAACACCAGGCCAAAAACTAAGTGCAAACTAAGTGCAAACTAAGTGCGTTTTAAGTGCAATTCTAAGTTTGTTCTAAGTCTAAGTTGAGGTACGAACTAAGTAACTTAAGTACGTTCTAAGGTAAGTTCATTTTAAGTTAAGGTGCAGAACTTAAACATAACTTATCCTTTCTTTTCTGTGGGTGCCGGATGCTCAGGGTTCCCAGAGCTCCATTCCCAGGATCCACCCGAGGCAACAGTCACACACTTTCGTGCCTTTTCGAACCCCAAACGACATTCCCGGCCACTTCGGAATACCCGGATGCAACAGTCACACACTTCGTGCTCTTCGAGTTCCCAGAACTCCATTCCCGGGCCACATTTTGGATGCCGGATGCAACGTCACACACTTCGTGCTCTTCGATTTCCCAGAACTCCATTCCCGGGCCACATTTTGGATGCCCGGAGCCAACTGTAGGCCACTTCGTGCTCTTCGAGTTCCCAGAACTCCATTCCCGGGCCACATTTTGGATGCCCGGAGCCAACTGTAGGCCACTTCGTGCTCTTCGAGTTCCCAGAACTCCATTCCCGGGCCACATTTTGAATGCCCGTAGCCAACTGTAGGCAACTTCGTGCTCTTCGACTTCCCAGAACTCCCATTCCTGGGCCACATTTTCAGCAGGGGCAAGAGCACGACGAGGAGGAGGACGAGCAAGACCAGGAGGACGAGGACGAGCAGGAGCAGGACGAGGAGCACGAGGAGCAGGAGAAGAAGGACGAGCAGGAGGAGGAGGACGACGAGCAGGAGGAGGAGGACGACCAGGAGGAGGAGGACGACCAGGAAGAGGAGGAGGAGGAGGAGGAGGAGGAGGGGAGGGGGAGGAGTACCAGGAGGAGGAGGAGGAGGAGGAGGAGGAGGAGGAGGAGGAGGAAGAGGAGGAGGAGGAGGAGGAGGACGAGGACGAGGAGGAGGAGGAGGGGGGGGAGAGTACCAGGAGGAGGAGAACGAGGACCACCAGGAGGAGGAGGAGGAGGAGGAGGAGGAGGAGGAGGAGAGAACACCAGGAGGAGGAGGACGAGCAAGACGAGGAGGACGAGAACGAGGACGACCAGGAAGAGGAGGAGGAGGAGGAGGAGGGGAGGGGGAGGACTACCAGGAGGAGGAGGAGGAGGAGGAGGAGGAGGAGGAGGAAGAGGAGGAGGAGGGGGAGGAGGAGGAGGAGGACGAGGAGGACGAGGGGGGGGAGGCACCAGGAGGAGGGAGAACGAGGCCACCGGGAGGAGGAGGATGAGGAGGAGCGGGGAGGAGGAGAAGAGCACCAGAGGTCTTTGACTGTGTAGCAAGACGAGGAGGACGAGAAACGAGGACGAGCAGGAGGAAGAGGAGGAGGAGGAGGAGGAGGAGGAGGAGGAGGAGGAGGAGGAGCAGAGAAAGAGGAGGCTGAGGCTGAGGCTGAGGCAGGCTGAGGCTGAGGCTGTGACTGCGACTGCCGTTGCCGCTGCGACTGTCATCGCGAATGCGACTACGACTGCGAGAACAGCAGAATTCGACAACTGGATTTTCATCTGAATCTTAAGGGGAATGCTTTCAGATATGCTTCTACACATCGCTGTTAGGTTGCTTTGCCGGGATAATTTTTACCCACCCAACACAGCGTTTCGTGGCCCCATAGGGAGCTCCACCGAAGCCCCCAGTGGGACCGTCCGCATGCGTCCCGGAAGCCCAATTTGGCATTTTCACCCACCCAGTGCAGCGTTTCGTGGCCCCATAGGGAGTTCCACCGAAGCTTTCAGTGGGACCGTCCGCATGCGTCCCGGAAGCCCAATTTGGCACTTTCACTTACCCAGTGCAGCGTTTCGTGGCCCCATAGGGAGCTCCACCGAAGCCCCCAGTGGGACCGTCCGCACGCGTCCCGGAAACCTTACTTGAAACACCACTCACCCAAAACAGCGTTCCCCCCCACCCAGTGCAGCGCTTCGTGGCCTCATATGGAGTTTCACCGAAGAAGATTTTCACAATTGCGGTACCCACAACTGCATAGTTATGGTTGGGTCATCCGCCAGGATAATTCTTCACGCTTCGCGTATCCCCACCAGCCCATCTCAAAACAGCAACTCTTGCGAAGCATGCCGACAGTCGTGTTTTTCAGGCGTGTTTCCGCCTGCCCCCGCATATCTCCGGGCCTCTCGTCCTGGTGTGAGTCGTTCGGGCCCTTCTTCCTGGTGTGAGTCGTTCGGGCTCTTCGTCGTGGTTTGAGTCGTTCGGGCTCTTCGTCCTGGCGTGAGTCGTTCGGGCTTCTCGTGGTGTGAGTTGTTCGGGCCCTTCGTCCTGGTGTGAGTCGTTCGGGCTCCTCCTCCTGGTGTGAGTCGTTCGGGCTCGTCGTGGTGTGAGTCGTTCGGGGCCCTCGTCCTGGTGTGAGTCGTTCGGGCTCCTCGTGGGGCCTCTTGGGGGCCTCTTGTAGCCTCTTGGGGCCTCTTGGGGGCCTCTTGGGGGGCTCTTGGGAGCCTCCAAACCTTCGGAGAATCAATGATTTTGCGTTGAAGAAAGAGAGGATCTTTCATGAGCGCAGCCCCCTGAGAAGGGCCAAAGGGGGCGAAAACCGTAGTACAATCGATGAGTCTTGCTTCACGGAAGAGGAAGTAGTAGTAGTAGTAGTAGTAGTAGTAGTAGTAGTAGTAGTAGTAGTAGTAGTAGTAGTAGTAGTAGTAGTAGTAGTAGTAGTAGTACTAGTAGTAGTAGTAGTAGTAGTAGTAGTAGTAGTAGTAAGGTAGTAGTAGTAAGAGTAAGAGTAAAGAAGGAGTAAGAGTAAGAGTAAGAGTAAGAGTAAGAAGAGTAAGAGTAGTTAGTAGTAGTAGTAGTAGTCGTAGTAGTAGTAGTAGTTTTAGGAGTAGTGTTAGTAGTAGTAGTAGTAGTAGTAGTAGTAGTAGTAAAGTAGTAAGAGTAGTATCAGTTAAGAGTAGTAAGAGTAGTAAGAGTAGTAGTAGTAGTAGTAGTAGTAGTATAGTAGTAGTAGCAGTAGTAGTGGAAGTAGTAGTAGTAGTAGTAGTTGTAGTAGTAGTCGTAGTTGTAGTAGTAGTAGTAGTAGTAGTAGTAGTAGTAGTAGTAGTAGAAGAAAGTAGTAGTAGTAGTAGTAGTAGTCGTAGTAGTAGTCGTAGTAGTAGTAGTAACTGGTAGTAGTAGTGGCCGTAGCACCATGCGTAGAAGTAGTAATAGTAGAGGTAGAAGTAGTAGTAGTGTGAGTCGTTCGGGGCCCGCGTCGTGGTGTGAGTCGTTCGGGCTCCTCGTGGTGTGAGTCGTTCGGGCGCCTCGTCCTGGTGTGAGTCGTTCGGGCCCCTCCTTGTGGTGTGAGTCGTTCGGGCTCTTCGTGGTGTGAGTCGTTCGGGCCCCTCGTCCTGGTGTGAGTCGTTCGGGCTCCTCGTGGGGCCTCTTGGGGGCCTCTTGGAGCCTCTTGGGGCCTCCTGGGGGCCTCTTGGGGGCCTCTTGGGAGCCTCTTGGGGGCCTCTTGGGGCCTCTTGGGGCCTCTTTGGGGCCTCTTGGGGGCCTCTTGGTGGCCTCTTGGGGCCTCTTGGGGGCCTCCGGGGGGCCTCTTGGAGGCCTCTTGGGAGCCTCCTGGAGGCCTCTTGGGGCCATCTTGGGGCCTTTTGCGACCTCCTCAGAAGCGCAAATGAGAGCTGCCCCCCGAGAAGGACAAAATGAGCCCAAAACCTTCGTAAAATCAATGATTTTGCTATGAAGGACGATGAGCGCTGGCCCCTCAGAAGCCCAAAATGGGGCCAAAACCTTAGTAAAATCGATGTTTTTGGCTTCACAGAAGAGGAGAGGGTTTTTTCTCAGCCCCCCCGTCGGGGCCAGAATCCTCGTGAGGGTCGTCGTTTTGTAGCCCTCCCAGGAGTCGAAAAAGACCCCTCTGACCACCCGCCGGACTCCCTCTCCAGGCCCAGGGGGAGGGGGTAGGGGGAGGGGTAAACCCCTCCCCGAAGGGGAAGAAGGGGGGTTGAGAACAGAGCGGGCTCTCTAAACCACTCACGCCCAAAAGGGCTGGTGGGATTCATCCGCCAGGATAGTTAGGCCTCTTTCGCGGCCCTCGTCGCCACCGCTGGATTCGCCTCGAATCCTGGTCAGAACGCACTCTGGGAGAATTCCTGGGAGTAGCGGTATCGGTACCTTTTGGTTCCCCCGAGGAGCGCGAGCAACATGATCAGGAGGGCTTGGCGACCTGATGGGGAGGGGACGACCAGTCTGGCAGAGGTTGCGAAAATTTGCCGAAGGAGGCCTCTGGGGCTGAGCATCTTCCCGGCGCTCAAAATTGATGCGCGTGTTCAGCTTTCTTCAGAAACCGATAATTCTTTCAGTTGGAGTTAGTCAGCTATGATCGCCACCTGAACGCTATTGTTCCCCACGTTTCGCCACCAAGGCGCCCACGGCATAACACGTGGCGAATGCACTTGAAAGCTCCACAATCTCATGTATCTGAGTGAGATCACGGAGAACAAAACAACCCCTAACCCTAATAGCACGATGAAGACGTGGCCCCACTGAGGTCCTCGTCATTGCATGAGGGATGATAGTTCTGGGCGGCTTGGTCTGATACATGTTCAGTAAAGACCCCCTATCCCTAATGTTTGTTTCCCTCCTAACTTAGGTCACCTCCCAAAGGGTTAGGGGTCCGTCTTTGATTGACCATGAGAGTTGCTTGTGTGTCGTTTCCGATACCTTTGGTATCCGTTCAATAGGGCTTTACATAATTGTTTGGCAACGCGCAGCTCTGTTGACGATTTGTTCGCTGGCCCGCGGGGACCTCTTAGAGCCCGCTCTGGGCTCTGGGATTAAATGGGGCCTGCAAAAAATATGGGACGATGTTGTCTACTATTGTTGAGCATGTTTGAATTGTTCTTTTCTTCCAAGAGCCGCCTGTAGGGGGACGTGCCCGACCTAACCCCTGGAGCGTGGGGGATGGAACAGCAGGGGGCGAAGGGGGGAGTCGGATAGGGAGGGGGGGGAGAGGAGGAGCACGAGGAGGGCAGGCTCGATGATGGATTGACGGGCAAGGGAGCCAGGACAGGAACGAGCGAGGAGGACGAGCAGGGCAGAAAGCAAAGGCGAGCAACCCCCCAAAAGGCCTCGGAACGAGCCTCGCCACGCGCCCACAGGCAGAGGGAGAGAGGACGGCGAGGAGGAGGAGCAGGGGGAGGAGGAAGAAGAGGACGGCGCCGAGGACGAGGAGGACGAGGACTAGGATTATGATGTTCCATCCTACTTTAGCCTTGATCGCCATAAAGAATTTCGAGCACTAGAAAAGTACCGAAATTCGAGAGTTTTCACGTGCCTGGCCTTGGGAGACTCGTCCGACACTTGTTTCGATACTCTTTCGATACTTTTTCCGATGCTCGAAATTTTTCTGGGATGTGGCATTAAGTACGATGGGAGCAGCATTAGACTAGGAGGGCAAAGAGGATGACGAGAAGGGCGAGCAGGACGACGAGGAGCACGACGAGCCGCGACGAGCCACGACGCTGCCAGCCGCGCGCCAGCCCCGCCGCGCGCAAGGCCACCACCGGCGCCCTCTCCAGGCTGTCCCTTGCCGTCGGCCGCATGGCCACGGAGGGGCCCGGCGACGGCTCCGCCGCCGAGGAGGCCCGGGCCGGTCGTCGTCGTCGTCGTCGTCGTCGTCGTCGTCGGTCGTTGTCGATCGCGGTCGTCGTCGTCTGTCGTCGTCGTCGTCGTCAATCGTCGCGTCGTCGGTCGTCGACGTTGTCGCGTCGTCGTCGGCAGACGTCGTCGTCGTCGTGGTCGCGTGGTCGTCTGTCGTCGTCAGTCGTCGTTGTCGTCGTCGTCGTCGTCAGTCTTCGTCGGTCGTCGTCGTCGGTCGTCGTCGGTCGTCGTCGGTCGTCGTCGGTCTTCGTCGTCCGTCGTCGTCGTCGTCGGTCGTCGCATCGTCGGTCGTCGACGTCGTCTTGTCGTCGTTGGCAGACGTCGTCGTCGGTCGTCGTCGTCGTCGTCGTCTGTCGTCTATCGGCAGCGGCGAGGTCGTTGTCGGTCGTCGTCGTCTGTCGTCGTCTGTCGTTGTCGTCGGCGGCGGCTTGGTCGTTTGTCGTCGCCGTCGTCGCTCGTCGTCGGCGTCGTGGTTCGTCCGCGGCGTCGGCGTCAGCGTCGGGGAAGCCCCTCGTCGCCCGCGGCTCTGAACGCAGCCAGGGAGACGAGTCGGGATGGCATCTGGGAGGGACTCATGTACAGTGAACCCACATAGTAAGGATGGGCCAACTTAGGTACCCTTGCATCCTTAGCGGCTTGCCCAAGGCATCCTTGCCCCTTTGGCCCATCATCACCGACTTTCTTTGGCCAGCCTCGTTCGAAAGACGTTCACATGGGCCTCCAAGGCCCTTGCATCCTTAACCGCGCATCCTTATGATACGTGATGACTGTATGTGTTTTTTGTTTTGCAGGAGAGGGGGGCCGTGGGAGGGAAGGATGTTAGAGGGGCACAAGCGGAACGGCGGGGCGAGGGGGAGTGGGGGAGAAGGGGGTTGCAAGTAAAAGACACGAGGGATGGGCAGGATCCGTTCAGTGGAGTTTTTTCGCCAGCGCTGCACTGCCCAAAGTAAAACGAGCGAGAGATTGAATGGCGCGGCGCGAGCGATCCCGCCACGTCGGCATGAGGGGACGTGCGCCCGACCATCGGCGCCAGGCCTGCCATGGCATCGTCGAGGCGTCGCCATGCTTGCGTTTTGGCAGCCAAGATGAGAAGAGTGAGAAGAGTGAGTGAAGTCGGGGAGGATGAGAAGAGTGAGAACGACGACGACGACGACGACGACGACGACGAGAGAGAGGCTTATCATGATTCTCTGTGTTTTGGCAGTCAGGCGGCGTCGTCGAGGCGCGCGCGCGCGCCGCCGCCTTGGGGCTCGGACGCGGTGAGGCGCTGCTCGCGGCGCGGTGCCGCGCCCATTCGCAGGACGGCTTTGCCTCGACCGCGGCGGTCGGGCGCCGCAGTGGCGTACAGCACTGCTCGACGCGCCGCCGCGAGCCCACGGCCGAGGCGCGAATGCCGCTGCCGGGCACAGCGAGAAGCCAGCAAGTTCAGACAGCGTGCTCCTCCTCCTCCGCCTCCGCCTCCTCCGCCTCCTCCTCCTCCCCCTCCTCCGCCTCCTCCGCCTCCTCCTCCGCCGCCTCCTCCTCTTCTTCCTCCTCCTCCTCCTCCTCCTCCTCCGCCTCCTCCGCGCCGCCCTCCTCCTCCTCTCCTTCTCCTCCTCCTCCTCCTTCTCCTCCCCCTCCTCCTCCTCCTCCTCCTCCTCCTCCTCCTGCTCCTCCTCCTCCTCCTCCTCCTCCTCCTCCTCCTCCTCCAGCGAGAAACCAGCAATCAGTATCGTTACACCGATCCCTATCCCCATCCCCATTCACATCTCGAGCCCCACCGTCTCACCACATCAGTGGGGGATCATGCCCCTCGACGCCCGAAGAGGACAGCCCATATCCCCATCAGGGGGGTAAATCTGCCAGTGGGGCCCAGCCCACGCTGGTGGGGATGGGGACTGGTTAAACGATGCTCAACCAAGCACGTGCACCCGCGCGCCGAGCTCAAACAGCGGCGCGAGAGAGCGGCGCTTCGCCGGAGAGCGGACACGCGCGAAGCGCGCGATGCGGTCGACACCGCTTGCGCTGTCTGACGGTGGCCGGGCGGGTGGGGTGGAGCGCGTTCGGCTTCCACCGCACGCCGCCATGCTGCATTCGCCGCCGGTGCTGTTTGATTGGCAGCGCGGCAGATGCCATTCGCTTTCTCGTATGCGCGTTTCGCCCCACCCTCATTCGCACTGGGTTGCGGCAGCCTGGCGGCGTCGCCGAGGCACGCGCGCCGCCGCCTCGGGCTCGGCGGCAGCGGGCGCCGCTCGATGCGCCGCCGCGCCCATCGCAGGATAGCTGCTGCGACCGCGGGGCGGGTGCCGCAGAGTGCAGCGCCGCAGCGCCGTGGCTTCTTCGGACCCCGTTGGGGGTCCTCTTGTGGCCACTTCGGGCCCTCTTGGGGGCACCTTCGGCAGTCTTGAATCAATGTTCGGCCGCCTTGGGGCTATCTTGGGCCATCTTCGAGGCATACTGGGCCATGTTGGCGTCCTTGGTTGCTGGCGCGGGCCGCCTTGGAAGCCAGAGGCTCGGGGCGCACATCCATAGTTGTTTAACAAGGGATCGTAGCTTGGGAGGCCCTGGAGCAAGTGGGAACAGCGCGTGGGGTAGGGGGGGGTCTGGGAGGTAGCAGCCACGCGGGAAGTGCACAATCCCCGAGCGGGCGCGCATGGATTGGGGGTTCAGGCATAAGCTGCCATGCGGGAAGAGCACCATCCTCGAGCGGGCATGCGTGGAAAGTGGTGGTTCAGGTATTAGCTGCCGCGCGGGAAGTTCACCATCCTCGAGCGGGCACGCGTGGAATGCGGGTTTGGGCACCCGCTGCCATGCTGGATGCGCTTCCTCCTCGAGCACGCACGAGGGCGGTGGCCTCGGAAGGGGGGGGGGCGGTGCACGCAAGAGTCAGCGAGTACGAAGGATGGGGGACTTGATCAGAGTTCAAAAATATCAGGAGGGGAAAAACCCACACAGGCACAATGAATCGTCGACTCCCAGGAAAATATGGGAGAATATGGAAAGTGGGGGGGAAGACAAAGTCTCAGAAGATATGCGCAAATATGGGTAATCCTGGGATTTGTGTCTACTTGTGTGTGTGTGTGTGTGTCCCTGGGCCCCCTTCAGACAACCTTGCCAGGCAGGCCCGAGCATTCTCCCACGCCTCAGCGTTGCCAGGGGGGCACGGTGGCGGCCTCGCGTGACGGGGCCCGCGCAGTCCCTCGCGTTCTCCCTGCGCGCCTGGGTTGTCGGAGCAGCACCTCGGGGCGACACTGTGAAAACGTATTTTGTGAAGGCAGATCTGCCCTCGAAAAGAGAGCGTACCTTTTGAATGCAGATCTGCCTCCAAAAAAAACGTTCTTTCTGAAGGCAGACCTGGCTTCCAAAAATACGTCCCTGCGGGGGCGGCATTTGGGGGCGACAGTTGCGGACGGCATGCGGGGGCAACGCACGAAGACAGCACATCGACGCATCGGGGGATAGAAAGTTCCAACCATCGACGGGCGCGCGTGCTGGTAAACTGGACTGCAGAGCACGCTCGGCACCTGCCACCCGACCTTCCAGTTGGCTTCACGCTCCGCTGTTCCTCCGAGCCCTCCTGGCCCTTGTTCCCAGACATCCAGCTGCTCCAATTGTTTCGATACGCGGGCCCCGGAGGTCCAGACCACTTCTTTAGGGCCGGTGTTTCGTCCCGAGTCGTTTTTTTGCCGCTCCTGAAGCCCAGCAAGGGCCCCCAGAGGCCAGAGAACGGCCACAAACCGCCTGCTCCAATTTTGTTGGGAGCGTCGGATCTCGGGTTAAGTCGGGCGTGTCCCTCTACAGGAGGAATATCGAAGAATATCAAAAAATAGTGGGGACGATTTGTCTATTATTCTCTAGTGTTCGGGAGTATTTTTTGACTAATTCAATTTTCCCTTTCAAATCCGCCTGTAGGAGGACATGCCCGATCTAAATCTCGGGATTGCTTGCGCCTACGATCGCTACCGGCCAGGCAGTGGAGGCCCATGCCAAGAAACACCCTGCTTGCCTCCAGGGTGCCCTACGTTTCTTGGGTTTCAATGGTTTAGCGATGGAAAGCGTGACGGTCCCGCACAAAAAATCGATGGACGTCCTGGGGTCTGGGTTGGGTTTCTTGTGGAAGGTTTCTTTCTGACAGTGGAAGCCCATGCCAAGAAACACCCTGCGTGCCTCCAGGGTGCCCTGGGTTTCTTGTGTTTCGATGGTTCTGCGATGGAGAGCGCGACGTTTCCGCACCAAAGATCGATGGACGTCCTGGGGTCACAGGGTGGCGTTTCTTGTGGAAGGTTTCCTATGGGCTGGCCTCCACTGTACAGCGTCTTGTCGTACTAGTATTTGTTCGGGCCGCATTGGTGTTGGGATCAAACGCGGTGCGCGACCATGCCTGCCAGCGGAGGGCACTGATGCCACATGCCCAGGTAATTGATGTGGCTTCGACTGGTCGTGACGCATCGTCTCCCGTTTTCGAAGTCGGAGCACCTCCCAAACGTCCTCCCCTCCCCCTTCTCCCGCGCCGCATGCCTGCGCCCGATCGCCCGGAGACCTCCGGGAGTGTCCGAACATGTTTGACCGAAGTCAGAGGGCCTCCGAGCCGTCCTTCCCTCCTCCTCTCCTGCGCCCCTTCCCTGCGCCCGATCGCCCAGAGACCTCTGGGGAGTGTTTCTGAGCGAGGTCGGAGCACCTCCAGAGCGTCCCTGCTCTCACCGGGAGAGGGGCGCCCAGGCCAGGCGGCTCATCAGCGAGCTCCAGGAGGACTTGGGGACCTTGCAGGCCGCCTCCTACCCCTCTCTCTCTCTCTCTTTCACTGTTTCTCTCTCTCGGCCTCGGGCGGTCAAATGGGGCGAGAAGGATCAGGGGAGGAGGGTGGAGCAGGAGGCAGAGGAGGAGGAGGAGGACGGGGAGGAAGAGGAGGAGGAGGAGGAGGGTGGAGCAGGACATGGAGGAGAGAAGATGATGAGGATGATGATCAGGATGAGGATGAGGAGGAGGAGGAGGAGGAGGAGGAGGAGGAGGATGATGATGATGATGATGATGATGATGCTGATGTGATGCTGATGCTGATGATGATGATGATGCTGATGATGATGATGATGATGATGAGGAGGAGGAGGAGGAGGAGGAGGAGGAGGAGAGGAAGACGACGACGACGACGAGACGACGACGACGACGACGAGGAAAGCGAAGACGAGGAGGACGAGAGGACGAGAGGAGGAGGAGGAGGAGGAGGACGAGGAGGGAGATGAGAGAGAGATGAGGAGACGACGAGGACGAGGACGAGGAGGAGGAGGAGGACGCGGCGGAGGAGGCGGAGGAGGAGGAGGAGGAAGAGGAGGAGGAGGAGGAGGAGGGGGAGGAGGAGGAGCAGGAGCAGGAGCAGGAGCAGGAGCAGGAGCAGAAGCAGAAGCAGGAGCAGAAGCAGAAGCAGGAGTAGGAGGAGAAGGAGGAAGAGGAGGAGGAGGAGGAGGAGGAGGAGGAGGAGGAGGAGGGAGCAGAGAGAGGGGAGCAGGGAATGAGGAGCAGGGAGAGGGGAGCAGGGAGTAGGTAGCAGGGAGAAGGGAGCAGGGAACAGGGAGGACGGAGGAGGGAGGAGGGAGGAGGGAGGAGGGAAAGGGAAGGGGAAGGGGAGGAGGGAAAGGGAAGGAAAAGTGGAGGAGGGAGGAGGGAAAGGAAAGGGGATGAGGGAGAAGGAGGAGGAGGAAGAGGGAAGGGGAAGGGGGAGGGGAGGAGGGAGGAACAGGAGAAGGATCAGTGTTGACCAAAGAAGCATTAACGACGTTGCGGTAAAATTTTCCTTCGAACTCCTTCATAGGCCCGTATAAGAATGTATGTTCACTGCGGGAACCCAACTGGCCCATCATTGTCTAAGAATCCTCGATCATGCCGCCAGAACGCACGTGACGGGACTGCAACGCCGCGAATCAACATGACCGTTGAGCGTAACCAATCTCAAATCGCACAAGAGCGCCAGTCCTGGGACTTCAACGCCGCGAACCAACGTGACGGTTGCCCCGGGACAGTCCTAATCGTGCCAGAACACCGTTCTTGGGGCTTCAACCATGCGAATATTTCAAGTCGCTGTTGCGACGAGTGCGCGCGGAAGAGGAGGAGGACATTGTGCGCGGAGGAGGAGAAGGAGGAGGAGGAGGAGGAGGAGGAGGAGGAGAAGAAAGACCAGTGTAAAACCACGACACCAACGATGTTGCATTGAACCCTCCCTCCAAGTTCGCTTTTCATTGCCCCTACAAGAGTGTAAGTATGCGCAGTGCAGGCAGTGCCCCATTAAAAGAGAAAGGTCTGAGCACTCGTGCCGAAACACCATTCCTGCGGCTTCGGCGCCGCGAGTCAGCATGACTGCCGCGTCTTGACGATCCTCCATCGTGCCCCCATCCCAAACAAAAACATTCCAGGGATTTCAACACCGCGATTCAACAGTACCTCGTAACGTCTTGACACTCCTAGACCGCGCCAGAACACCATTCCCTGGACTGCAACCCTACGGATATTTTGAAAAGCCTGCAGAGTGCAAAAAAAGAATACGGTGCTGAGGTGGGCGCTACAGTTTGAGAAGGAGCCGCCCTCCATCCCCCGGAGCTGCTGCAAGCTTAGATACATATATATATATATATATATGTATATGAAGAAAAACCAGATCAACGCAACAAATCACAACAACAACAACGACGACGACAACAACAACAGCAAAAAATGCGCAACGCGATGCCGAGAGCCAGATTTAAAAAAACGACCCGCCCTCCATCCGCAACGTTGTGGCAAAGTGTCAACGCGAATGTGCGCGGCGATGAGGCCAGAGCCACATTTTGAGAGCAACCCGCCCCCCCCCCCTCCCTCCCCCAACATGCACGAGACAGCTGCAAACTGATTATTTGTTGCACCAATGTGTCCGGCGCTACGGCGGGCACCACACGCTGAGAGCTATCCGCCCTCCTTCCTTGCATCTGGTGCGAGTTGCAAGCTGCAGGACCAGAAGCGACGAGGACGCCTCGGGCGAGACGCCCGGGCCCGCCCTGCCGACACGACACGTCCTGGGGGTGAGGCAAGCAGGGACTGCGCAGAATCAGGAGCGAAAGAAGGACGGACACGTACATGAATTCACGCTGGTTTCGAGAGTTCGCATTGCGCGAATGTTCGTGTCACGCGGCTGGTCTCGCGTTTCAAGGGACCGTGTTCATGTACATAGCTGGGCGCGTACGTCCTTTGTGGGCTCCCTATAGACGAGGCGGGAGTCGGGGGTGGACAGAACCCCCAACAGTGACACGTCGATTAGGGAATTGTCCGTTTTCGGTTCTCGAGAGGGCGCCGTGGCCGATTTTTCCCAGGTTCGCGCCCGCCAGATTTGGGCCTCAAGTCGTTTTCACTACACCACGTTTTACTAAAGGGGGGTCTGTCCATCCCCGACAGGAGTCGGAGGAGGCGGAAGACTAGTGTCAACCCAAGGCGCATCAACGAGGCTGCAATAAACTCGCCCTCCAAGTTTTCTCTTCATGGGCCAGTACAAGAATTTGTGCGCAGTGCGGGAAGTGCCCCGTTGAAAGACCACCGTTTGATAATCCTCGACTGTGCCAAGACGTCCTGGGATTTTCACGCCGCGACTCAACATGATAGTTGCATCTTGACACTACTCCGTCGCGCCCCCCCCCCTAAAATTGCGGAATGTGCACCACTTTGGAACGATTCGCTTAACATTGTCGGGCCACGCGCGTCGCGCAACTGCGCAGGAGTGGGCTGAAGTCGGGCAGGTCCCCCTACAGGAGGAGTGTTCCAAAATAGTCAAAACAAATTTTCTGGGGACGATGTTTGACTATGTGTTTGAGCATTCTTTGAAAATGTTTTGACTCTTCTTTATTGCTCGTCAGAAGTAGTCAAAAAAACTTGTCTGGGGACGATGTTTTACTGTGTTTGAGCAGTATTTGAACATGTTTGGACTACTCTTTATTATTCGTCAAAAGTCCCCCTGTAGGGGGACAGGCCCGACCTAGGCTCGCTCTGTGATGCCACCGCGCCGCGCGCAGAGCGACACGCCAGCGCCAGGCGCCGTAGGCGGGCACTCTGCGCTCCGCCGCGCCCTCCCCGGGGAGCCCACGGGAGCGGCGGCGGCGGCGCAGGTCCCGCAGCCCCCGAGGCAGCCGCGAGGTCTCGCACGATCTGCGCCGTCCTCGAGCCCAGGAGCCGCGGGGTATTGCGTGATCCGCGCTGGCCCTACGTCCGCCGAGCCTCTCCCAGGAGCCCACGAGAACGGCGACGGCTGCGATGTGCGATCTGCGCTGCCCTCCATCCCGCGGGACTTGCCAGGAGCCCGCGAAAGTGGCGGCGGTTGCGCAGCTCGCAGCCACCCAGGGAGCAGCCAGGTCTCGTCTGGATGCGCGTACGCCCCCGATCCGTTGGACCTCCCGTGAGCCCACGAAAATGCAGGCAATTTCGCAGTTCGCAGCCACCCAGGGGGCCGCGAGGTCTCGTCTGGATGCGCGTACACCTCCACTCCGCTGGTCCACGGAACTGGCCACAGTTGTATTGTTCGTAGCTTTCTGGGGGTGCCGCGAAGTCCTGTCTGGATGCGCGTACGCCCCCAGTCCGATGGACCTCCCAGGAGCCCACAGGAGCGGGTTCAATTGCGCCGTTCGCAGTCATCCAGGGAGCCGCGAGGTCTCCTGGATGCGCGTACATTTTCTCTCAGCTGCATTGCCAGGAACCTACGACAGGGGTGACAGTTGCGCAGTTCGCAGCCACCCATGGAGCCGCAAGGTCTCGTCTGGATGCGCGTGCGCTTCCACTCCGATGGACCTCTCAGGAGCCCACCGATGTGACGACGGTTGCGCAGTTCGCAGCAACCCAGGGAGCCGCGAGGTTTCATCTGGATGCGCGTCCACCTCCACTCCGCTGGACGGCCACGAAACTTGCGACAGTTGCAAAGCTCGCTGCCACCCACGGGACCGCAAGGTCCCGTCTGGATACGCGTACAGTTCCAATCTGCCAGACCCCCCATATGTTGATGGAAAGCACGTCGACTTGTTATTGCTTCTCGGAGGAGGCAAAGGTATCCATCCATTTGGGGGCCTCCTGGGAGGCCCGTGTCGCCACCGCTGGATTCGCCTCGAAGTTGTGGTCAGAACGCACCCCGGGAGAGATCCAGAGAGTAGCGGTTTCGGCGACGGTGTCGGTATCTTTTGGTTTCACCATGCTCTCATAGCTAGGATGGCAGCGCCCGCATGTCGGCGCCATCCGCCAGTTGCGTGGCAGGTTTGGAGGCCGCCGATTCCGAGCGGATTGGTGGATTTCTTTGTCCTCCACCGCCGTCGACGGACGGGCGAGCGGTGCTGCATGAGGTGCCCAAGCGGTGGCGAAAACGGCATCCGATTAAAGTGATGAGCGCCGTTCGTTTGGGCTAGAGCGCGGTGAAGATTTCATCGTGCTCTCAGGTGTCAGGAGTAGGAAGGCGAGAAGGGAGGAGGAGGAGGAGGAGGAGGAGGAGGAGGAGGAGCAGCAGCAGCAGCAGCAGCAGCAGCAGAAGCAGCAGCAGGAGCACAGGAGAAGGAGGAGGAGGAGGAGGCCCAAGAGGAGGAGGAAGATGGAAACGAGGACGAGGAGGAGGACGAGGACGAGGACGAGGAGGAGGAGGAGGAGGAGGAGGAGGAGGAGGAGGAGGAGGAAGAGGAGGAGGAGGAGGAGGAGAGGAGGGGAGGAGAGGAGGAGGAGGAGGAGGAGGAGGAGGAGGAGGAGGAGGAGGAGGAGGAGACGAGGAGGACGAGGAGGTAGCGGAGGAGGAGGAGGAGTAGGAGGAGGAGGTAGTGGAGGAGGAGGAGCAGGAGGAGGAGGAGGAGGTCTGAGAACGAGCAGAATAAGAGGAGGACGAACAGGAGGAGAAAGCAGACGACGATGAGCAGGAGGACGAGTAGAAGTATGTTCGGGGCGGGGGGGGGCAGGAGGAGGAGGAGGAGGACGAGGAGGAGGAGGAGGATAAGGATAAGGAGGAGGAGGACGAGGACGCATGAAGGAGGCAAGAGGAGGAGTACTGGAGGAGGAGGAGGAGGAGGAGGAGGAGGAGGAGGAGGAGGACCTCTGCAGGATGGGACAGGTGAGGGGGTCGGCCGCGGCGCCTGCGTCCCGCCGCTGCTGCCCAGATGGCCTCCGACGACGAGGACGAGGACGGGGCGCGTCGGCCTGGCCGCCGCGCGTCGTGGGGAGCGTTGTTTTTCGGGGCGCACGTCGCTCGCCAGTAAGCAAACAGGTCTCGAGGGAAACGGGCCCTGAGGTTTTCGCTGTGGGGGCCTCCCTCTGGGCCCCCCGCGCGCCCCCAGGTTGTTGTGCGCAGGGGGCTCCAGACGAAAAGTTGGTCTCTGGGCCTCCCAGGTGGGGTCGGAGCAGATGGGGTCGGAGGATCGCGCCGCATCGCCGATGCATCGCCGATGCGGCTCGATGTGCAGCCCGCTTTGCTTCACTTCAACATCGCCGATGCGTCGCCGAAGTCGACGATGCATCGCCGGTGCATCGCCGATACATCGCCGATGCATCGCCGATGTATCGGCGATGCGGCGCGATCCTCCGACCCCATCTACTCCGCCCCCACCCAGGAGGCCTCTATGAACGTGGGGGAAGGCCCCATGGCCCACGGCCCGTTTCCTTCAGGACCCGCGTGCTTCATGCCAAAAACGGTAAATGTCGCGTCGTGTCGACCGGCGGCGACCCCGCCGCTGGCGTTCCACGTTGGATGCCGCCGGCGACCCAGAGTCGGTCGATGCTGAACGATCTGATGCTTCGGACACGGCCGACCGTTCAAGGTTGAACGGTCCCCGCGGTGTCAGGAACCAGCACTGGTGCCCACACGACGCGAACCCGCGGTGATTCAGGAGGGGAAAAAACACAGACACAATTAATCGTCGATTCTCAGGAAAATGTGGGAATTGGGCGGGAAGACAAAATCCCACAAAATATTGGAAAATATGGGGAATCTTTTTATTTGTGTGTACTGATTTGTGTGTCCCAGGGCCCCTTCAGTAATGGGGTCAGCGACGACGGGCTCCGCCAGTCTCCCCTGGCTGGCCCCAGCCAGGCAGCCTCTCTGCGGGAGGCCCGAGTGCACCGTGCCACGCTGGCGCCTCACGGGGCGCCGTCGATCTTCGGCCTGGGAGTGGTCAGTTTTAGGTCGGGCGTGTCCCTCTAGAGGAGGAGGAGTCCAACGAAAAGTACGGGGACGATTTTTTGGATTATCGTCTGACTATTGTTGGATGCTTGTTGGCAGTTTTCCACTGTTCCTCCAACATCCGCCTGTAGGAGGACATGCCCGACCTGATGGCAAGTGCAGGGTCTTTCGGCCCTCAGAGCCGACGAGCTGTGCACCGTAACGCGTGGGGGCCGAGCCTGGCTCGGAGGGTGCTAAGTCCGCGCGGCGCAAGTCCGCACGGAGTGCTCGGTCTCCGTCCAGGCTTTTTCCGTCTGGACTTCGCCTCTCCTGACAGGATGCCAAGTCCGCACGGAGTGCGTCCGCACGCAGTCCTCGGTCTCCGTCAGGGCTTGCGCCGTCCGGACTTGGCGCCTCCTGATGGAAGGGGGCCCCAGACGTGGCCGGACGGGGCTAGGAGGAGTATGTATGCATCCGTCCCAGAGCGCTCAGGAACGCTCTCAGAGCGTTCCGGAACGCTCTGAGAAGGCCGCGGCGCCCGACATTTCCAGCCTCCCGACCTGCCGGATCTCAGAGGTTCTCATTTTTCCCACCCCCAAATTCATCCTCGCCCTGGCTGCGGCTGACGTGGCACGGTGCTCGTGCGCCAGTCTCGTAAGTTTGGGAGCCGCCGTGTGGAGCCAGCCGCCTCTGTGCCCTCCCTCCGCCGACCCAGGCCTCGGGGGCTATACCAAGAGATGCGCGGCAGCCGGGGTTCGAGACGTGGCTCTGGCTGAGACGCGGCAGCTCGGACGCGGCCAGGACGAGGATCCATCCGTTCCAGAGCGTTCCGGAACGCTCTCAGGACGCTCCCGAGCGTTCCGGGACGTTGCGAGAGGGCCGCGGCGCCCGAGACATCCTCCAGAGCCGCCGGTTCTCAGAGATTCACCCGATTTGATCCTCGTCCTGGCTTCGTCTGAACAGCACAACCCACGCCCACCAACAACAGCCAGGACCCTCACTCCCGACCTGGGGATCCAGGGGTCCAGGCTGGGGGTGGTGTTGTCTCTTAAGGGCTCCTGTGGGCCAAAAACTTCTCACCCCCAGTGGGCAGGGCCCCCTGGATCGCCAGCTCGAGAGTGAGGGTCCTGGCTGGGAGTGATGGTGGGTTGTGCTGTCCTCAGGGCTGGCGATGACCGGGGCTAGCACGATCTCGAATGTTTTTGGCCTTTGGGTGCCTCCAGCCGTCGCCACGGCTAGACGCGGCTCCCAAAAGAGGTGAGGATGGTGCCAGAACAGGTCTGATGACGGATTCTGAGCGGACCCAGTCCCTAACATCCAGGCGCCGTGGGAACAACAAACCATTGTGTTTTGCCCAACCCTCCTGTGATGGGTTCACGCTTTGACTAGAGCACTGCAGTCTCCACCATCTCCTCCGCGTTCTCCTCCTCATCTTTCTCCTCCTCGCGGCTCCTTGGGGGGGGGATTCAGGTGGGACATCGCGGCTCCCTGGGAGGCTTCAATCTGCGCAACCAGCGCGGGCTCCTGGGAGATCCAGCGGAGTCGAGCCGGGGCACTGGTTTTATGGCGCCCCCAGGGGTGCGCGTGGCAATTTCCACGGGCACCGCTCGTGGTCGGCGCCTTTTTCCGTCTGTCAGCTTGACCAGCGGCGGTCTCCCTCGCCTTGCTGCTTGCGCCCTGGAATGGGGTGCGGGCCGGCATGGCCGCGGCCTGTTTAATTTTTGTTTCTTGGCGTCGCACCTGTGTGTGCGCGTCCGCGCCTGGTGCTGCAGTTCGCTGTTCCTGCTGGCCTTTTTCAGCTGTGTGTCAGCTTGCTTTGCCGGCAGCGTTCTCCGCGGTGGTTCGTCGGTCCCTTCCCCCCTTTGGGTCGCGGGGGTCGCTCGCCTCGCCGTCGTCGGTCTGTCGCGGGTCGGCCGTGTCGTGGGGTCTTCGTCGTCGTCTCTCCGGGTTCCTCTCTTGCTTCTGCTTTTGCTGCGTTCCCCCCCCCCCCTTTCCTTCCCTCCTTCCCTTCCTCTGGGTCGTCCCCACCGCGGGGGTCTGTCTCAGTCGGAGCGTTGGCGTATCCCGGTGACGGGTTCGCATTGCTCGTTGTCTTGTTTACTTTGTCGCTGTTTGGTCAGAGAGGTGCAACCTTTGCGGTGCCGCGTACAGTCTCTTGTGCCTAGGCGGTTGCCCCATCTTTGGGTTTGCTTTCACCTGCCTTCATGGTAGCTCTTCGTGGCTTTGGTTGCGTTTGGGGTTCCTGTTTTAACGCTGGCTTTGCACTGCACGTTGGCCATGCTCGCGTTTCGCTGTTCGCGGTCGCTGCTCGCGGTCGCCCGCGTTCAGCTATGTTTGTTGTTGTCTCAGGCTAAGCCAGCCTCGGCCGCGTGATCATCTTTGTCACGCCGACCTCTTGATTGTTGTTGCAAGGTCGCCTTCTGTGATTCTTGCCCTTGCAATGTCGGTGGCGCTGCCTTTCGCGCAGTTTTCCTACGTGTATACACCGCCACCAAGTTGGCTGGTCTGGCAGCTTTGCAGTTCTCGTCCGTTGCCTCCCTGAGGCTCCAATTAGCACCACCTTGACTTTACGGTGACTCTGTCGTCATGGCGCGTTCGACTACGTTCGTTCGCCCATTGGCACCCCCGCCTGCCGACCGCGCCTGAGGCTCCTCTGCGCCACCGACTTAAATCGAAAAAGAAAAAATGACATAGGCATAAACTGTTGGCGCTCCGCGCGGATTTCCTGGATCCGCGCAAGACCTCCCCGGCAGCGCCTCCGGCGCCGCCCCTGGCGCGCTCCGCGCGCCGCGGAGGGGGGTCCAGCGCAGATCCAACGAATCCGCGCGGAGCGTCTAAAGTTTATGCTTGTGGCCTCACTTCTTCTTCTATTCAAAGTGCGTGTCTGTCTGTGTGTGGGTGTGCGTGCGTGCATGGGCGTGGGTGTGGGTGTCGATGTGGGTGTGGGTGTGGGTGTTGGTGTGGGTGTGGGTGTGTGGGTGTGTGCGGGTGTGTGCGGGTGTGTGCGTGGTGTGAGTGTGTGTAAGTGTGTGTTTGGTGTTGTGTGTGTTGTGCGTAAGTGTGTGTAAGTGTGTGCAAGTGTGTGCGTAAGTGTGTGTAGGTGTGTGTGTGACAGTGTGTAAGTATGTGCAAGTTTGTGTAAGTGCGTGCAAGTGTGTGTGTAAGTGTGCGTAATTGTGCGCAACTGTGCGTAAGCGTGCGTAAGTGTGTGTAAGTGTGTGTGTGTGTGTGTAAGTGTGCCATTGTGTGTCAGTGTGTGTGTGTGCCATTGTGTGTCAGTGTGTGTCAGTGTGTAAGTGTGTGTGTAAGTATAGTAAACGTGCGTAAGCGTGTGTGTAGGTGTGTGCGCGATTGTGTGTAAGTTTGTACAAGTGTGTGTAAATGTGTGCATGTGTGTAAGTGACTTGCTGTGTGTAAGTGTGTGTAGGTGTGCAAGTGTGTGTGTGTAAGTGTATGCACGTGTGTGCAAGTGTGTGTCAGTGTGTCCGTGTGTGCAACTGTGCGTAAGTGTGTGTGTAAGTGTGTGCGCATATGTGTGTAAGTGCGTGTAAGTGCATGTAAGTGTTTCACAGTGGGTAAGTGCGTCTAAATGTGTGTATATGTGTGAATGTGTGTAAGTGCGTAGAAGTGTGTGGAAGTGTGTTTAAGTGTGTGTAAAGGTGTGTAAGTTTGTGTAAGTGTGCGTAAGTGTGTTTAGGTGTGCGCAAGTGTGTGCAACTGTGCGCAAGTGTGTGTAAGTGTGTGTAAGTGTGTTTGAGTGTGTGTGTGTGTAAGTGTGTATAAGTGTGTGCAATTGTGTGTGGAAAAGTGCGGAAGTGCGCGGAATTGTGGAAGTGTGTGGATGTGTGCGTAGGTGTGTGTAGGTGTGTGTGTGTGTGACTGTGTGTAAGTGTGTGCAAGTGTGCGCAAGTGTGTGTAAGTGTGTGTGTAAGTGTGCGTAAGTGCCTGTGTGTGAGTGTGTGTGTGAGAGTGTGTGTAAGTGTGTGTGTGAGTGTGTGTACGTGTGTGTAAGTGTGTTAAAGTGAGTGTTAGTGTGCGTAGATGGTCGTAAGTGTGCGTAAGTGTGTCTCAGTGTGGGTTAAGCGCGTGTGCGTGTTTGTAAGCGGGTGTAAGTGTGTGTGAGAGAGAGAGTGCGTGTGTGTGGAAGTGTGTGTAAGTGTGTGTGTATATACCTGTGTGTGCGCGTGTGCAACTGTGTGTAAGTGTGTGTGTATTTGTGTGTAAGTCAGGTTAACTGTGTGTAAAAGCGTGGAAGTGTGTGCAACCGTGTTTAAATGTGCGTACGTGTGCGTAAGTGTGCGTAAGTGTGTGTGAGTGTGTACACGTGCGTGTAAGTGTGTGTAGGTGTGTGTAAGTGTGAGTAAGTGTGCGCAAGTGTGTGTAAGTGTGTGCAATTGTATGTAAGTGGGTGCGCGTGTTTGTAACCATGTGTCAGGGTGTGTATGTGTGTGAGTGCGTGTGTAAGGGCGTGTGTAAGTGCGTGTAAGTGTATGTAAGTGTGTGTAAGTGTGTTGAAGTGTGTAGAAGTGTGTAGAAGTGTTTGGGTGTGTGTAAGTGTGTGCAACTGTGTGTAAGTGTGTGTAAATGTGTGTAGGTGTGCGTGCCTGTGGACATGTGTGTGAGTGTGCGTAACTGTGTGAAAGTGTGCGTAAGTGCGTGTAAGTGTGTGTAAGTAAGTGTAGGTAAGTGTACGGTATGTAAGGGTGTGTCAGTAACTATAAGGTGTGTAAGGGTGTACATATATGTGTGTAAATGCGTGTGTGTGTGTGAGAGTTTGTGTGTGTGGAAGTGTGTAAGTGTGTAAGTGTGTAAGTGTGTGTAAGTGTGTATAGGTGTGCGAAAATGGTTGCAAGTTCGTGGAAGTGTGTGCGTAAATATGTGTAAATGTGTGTAAGTGCGTGTAAAGGGGGAGAACATCGACCTTAACGGGCAAGATAAACGTTCCAACCGCCCAGAGGAGGCGCCTCCGACAGCGAAAAAGTTGATTTGATAGCGTTCTTCGCCCGCTAACGACCTCCAGTCATCCATTGTCACGCCATCGCAAACGTGGATCAAGGGGGCGTGGATTAGGTTTGCATAGGAGATCCCGGATGTCCGCCGCCGAGCGGGGCGGCACCGTCCGCATTTTGGGGAGGGCACCTCCCACGACCCATGTTAGCGAGCCCCCGACATTGCTCGCTGGTCTGGGTCTCGGGCGGCCCACCCTCTTTTTCGGCTTATTACCATGGGAACCCCATCCCCGATTCGTTTCGTCGGGCACGGGCCGTCGACGCCCGTCATTCGTTTTACCCCGCCCCCCGTGAACCAGCCTCCCCGCCAGTCAGCTCCCCTCAACCTCGCCCGCAGGAGTATAACAGTGCCGACCTCCTGCCCCCGAACATGGTGTCGAAGATGGCTTCGGAGCAGATAACCGCCGAGGACCCCGCCCGCTTCGGCTCCGGCCGTCGTTGCCGCGACCGGGAGGAGTAAGAGGGGGAGGAGGAGGAGGAGGAGGAGGAGGAGGAGGAGGAGGAGGAGGAAAGGGAGGAGGAGGAGGAGAAGAGGAGAAGAGGAAGAGGAAGAAGAGGAAGAGGATGAGAAGAGGGGGGAGGAGGAGGACGAGTAGGATGATGAGGAGGAGGAGAAGGAGGAGGAGGAGGATGGAGGCGGAGGAGGAGGAGGAGGAGGAAAAGGAGGAAGAGGGATGAGGAGGGGGAGCAAGAGGAGGGGGAGGAGGAGAAGGAGAAGAAAGAGCAGGAGGAGCGGAGGGACAAGCGGAGGAGGTTCGTGGCGGTTGGAGTCGGCTGGGGATCTGGGGTGGCGCCCAGCACTGGTTCTGGCCAGCAGGAAGGGCGGGCAGGTCCAGGGCGCTGGGTTCGGGAAGGTCTCTTGCTTGTTTCGGCCTCTGGGGTGCCTTTTTCGGGCCCCGTGGACCGTCAAACGCAGATCCGGGTTGAAGAATAGCACCAGAAGGATCCAGGGAGGGCTTTGGGGACAGATTTTGAGAGGAGTTGGCCTCACCCCCCCCTCCTGGTCGATGCTCTGGGGTCTCAACCAGTTCAGACCCCCTGGCCGCCTCCTGACCTGTCGGGCTTCTCTTCCTGTCCAGTGTTTTTCCCCACATGCTTCGTGGGGTTTTGGTTTTCTTCCCTGCCGCGTCGCACCCGCGTCTCACCTCACACCTCCCCTCCTCCTCACAGCACTGCTCAGCACAGCTCAGCTCAGCACAGCTTAGCACAGCTCAGCTCAGCACAGCACAGCACAGCACAGCGCAGCACCCCACATTCTTAATTTAAACACTACGCTTTATCCCCCACATGCTTCGTGGGGTTATGGTTTTTCCCCACATGCTTCGTGGGTTTCTGGTTTTCTTCCTTTCCGCGTCTCACCCGCGTCGCCTCCTCCTTCTCCTCCCTCTCCTTCTCTTCCCTGCCGCGCCGCACCCGCGCTCATTCACCTCGCTCAGCTCAGCTCAGCACGGCACAGCACAGCTCGGCTCAGCTTAGCTGAGTGCGCAGGGGGGGGTCTCCCTATGCGTGCCAGGGTCGTCCAGTCATAGCAGGCGTGGCATTTTCTCGACACCAGAGGGGGTGCGCAGGGGGTGGTCCCTCAGCGCGGCCTCTATCCGTGACACGCTCGCAGATCGTGGCAGGAGTGGCACTTTCTCGACACCACAGGGGGTGCGCAGAGGGTGGTCCCTCAGCGCGGCCTCTATCCGTGACACGCTCGCAGATCGTGGCAGGAGTTGCACGTTCTCGACGCCACAGGGGGCGCGCAGAGGGTGGTCCCTCAGCGTGGCCTCTATCCGTGACACGCTCGCAGATCGTGGCAGGAGTGGCACGTTCTCGACACCACAGGGGGTGCGCAGAGGGTGGTCCCTCAGCGCGGCCTCTATCCGTGACACGCTCGCAGATCGTGGCAGGAGCGGCACTTTCTCGACACCACGGGGGGTGCGCAGAGGGTGGTCCCTCAGAGCGGCCTCTATCCGTGACACGCTCGCATATCGTGGCAATAGTGGCACTTTCTCAGCAACACAAGGGGTGCGCAGAGGGTGGTCCCTCAGCGCGGCCTCTATCCGTGACACGCTCGCAAATCGTGGCAGGAGTGGCACTTTCTCGACACCACAGGAGGTGCGCAGAGGGTGGTCCCTCAGCGCGGCATCTATCCGTGACACGCTCGCAGATCGCGGCGGAGTAGTACTTTCTCGAGCCACAGGGGGCGCGCAGATGGTGGTCCCTCAGCGCGGCCTCTATCCGTGGACACGCCGCAGATCCGTGGAAGGAAAAGAGTGGCACTTCTCGACACCACAGGGGTGCGCAGAGGGGGTCCCTCAGCGCGGCCTCTATCCGTGACACGCTCGCAGATCGTGGCCAGAGCAGGATGGCACTTTCTCGACACCACAGGGGGGGCGCAGAGGGTGGTCCCTCAGCGCGGCCTCTATCCGTGACACGCTCGCAGATCGTGGCAGGAGTGGTACTTTCTCGACACCACAGGGGGGGCGCAGAGGGTGGTCCCTCAGCGCGGCCTCTATCCGTGACACGCTCGCAGATCGTGGCAGGAGTGGCACTTTCTTGACGCCACAGGGGGTGCGCAGGGTGGTCCTCAGCGCGGGCCTCATCCGTATACGCCCGCTAAACGTAACGAGTGGCATTATGACACCACCAGGGGTGCGCAGAGGGTGGTCCCACAGCGCGGCCTTATATCGTGACACGCTCGCAGATTCGTGCAGAGAGTGGCCTTTCTCGACACCACAGGGGGTGCGCAGAGGGTGGTCCCTCAGCGCGGCCTCTATCCGTGACACGCTCGCAGATCGTGGCAGGAGTTGCACTTTCTCGACACCACAGGGAGTGCGCAGAGGGTGGTCCTCAGCGCGGCCTCTATCCATGACACGCTCGCAGATCGTGGCAGGAGTGGCACTTTTTCGACACCACAGGGAGTGCGCAGAGGGTGGTCCCTCAGCGCGGCCTCTATCCGTGACACGCTCGCAGATCGTGGCAGGAGTGGCACTTTCTCGACACCACAGGGGGTGCGCAGAGGGTGGTCCTCAGCGCGGCCTCTATCCGTGACTACGTCGCAGATCGTGGAGGAGTAGCTTCCGATCGGACGCCACAGGGGGTGCGCAGAGGGTGGTGTCCCTCACCGCGGCCTCTATCCGTGACACGCTCGCGGATCGTGGCAGGAGTGGTGCTTTCTCGACACCATAGGGGGTGCGCAGAGGGTGGTGGTCCCTCAGCGCGGCCTCTATCCGTGACACTCTCGCAGATCGTGGCAGGAGTGGCACTTGCTCGACACCACAGGGGGTGCGCAGAGGGTGGTCCCTCAGCGCGGCCTCGATCCGTGACACGCTCGCAGATCGTGGCAGGAGTGGCACTGTCTCGACACCACACGGGGTGCGCAGAGGGTGGCCCCTCAGCGCGGCCTCTATCCGTGACACGCTCGCAGATCGTGGCAGGAGTGGCATTTTCCCGACACCACAGGAGGTGCGCAGAGGGTGGTCCCTCAGCGCGGCCGCTATCCGTGACACGCTCGCAGATCGTGGACAGGAGTGCACGTTCCTCGACACCACAGGGGTGGCGAGGTGTGGTCCCAGCGCGGGCCTCTATCCTTGGACACGCTCGCAGTTCGTGGGCAGGTAGTGGCATTTTCTCGACACCACAGGGGGTGCGCAGAGGGTGGTCCCCCAGCGCGGCCTCTATCCGTGACACGCTCGCAGATCGTGGCAGGAGTGGCACTTTCTCGACACCGCAGGGGGTGCGCAGAGGGTGGTCCCCCAGCGCGGCCTCTATCCGTGACACGCTCGCAGATCGTGGCAGGAGTGGCACTTTCTCGACACCCCAGGGGGTGCGCAGAGGGTGGTCCCCCAGCGCGACCTCTATCCGTGACACGCTCGCAGATCGTGGCAGGAGTGGCACTTCCTCGACACCACAGGGGGTGCGCAGAGGGTGGTCCCTCAGCGCGGCCTCTATGCACGACGGTCGTCCAGGGCATAGCAGGCGCGGCATTTTCTCGACACCATAGAGGCTGCGCAGGGGGTGGTCCCTCACCGCGGCCGCTGCACGACGGTCGCCCAGGGCATAGCAGGCGTGGTACTTTCTCGACACCGTAGAGGGTGCGCAGGGGGTGGTCCCTGACCGCGGCCGCTGGCTGGCTCGAATCTGTCCTCGATGGAGGATAGAAGGCTAGGAAGAGGGAGGAGGTTCAAGCAATATGGCGTTGGATGACACATAGGGGATCATTCGCGACGAGGGCTGAGAACGCCGAATTGCGCATATTTCATAAACTTAAGCAAACACATACTATTTAAATTAAGTATGTGGGATTCCTCGGTAGCGTATTCGACATGTCGTTTCCATCGTGGCAGGCACTGGGCTGCAATTCCGAGGCGGTCGAGCGCCGCGTCCGGGTTGATGTTTCTGGATGCGCGCATCAAGAGGCGACGTTGACGCAAGCCAAACGTCTTTCCAACGCAAAGAGGTCGAGGAGGGGTGGAGGGCGGAGGGGCGGGAGGCAGAGGGTACGCATGGAGGGTTTCTCCGAAGGGCTTATGCGACCCCTCCTCCTCCTCCTCCTCCTCCTCCTCCTCCTCCTTTCTCCTCTTCCTCCTCCTCCTCCTCCCTTCTCCTCCTCCTCTTCCTCCTCCTCCTCCTCCTCCGCCCTCCTCCCGCATCCCGCATCCTCCTCCCTCCTCCTTCCTTCTCCTCCCTCCCCCTCCTCCTCCTCCTCCTCCTCCTCCTCCTCCTCCTCCTTTCTCCTCCTCTTCTTCCTCCTCCTCCTCCTCCCTCCTCCCTCCTCCCGCATCCTCCTTCCTCCTCCTTCCTTCTCCTCCCTCCCCCCCTACCTCCTCTCCTCCCCTCCTCTTCCTCTCCTCCTCCTCCTCCTCCCCCCTCCTCCTCTCCTCTCCTTCTCCTCCTCCTCCTCCTCCTCCTCTCCTCCTCCTCCTCCTCCTCCTCCTCCTCTCATTCCTCACCCTCCTTTCATCCCTCCATCTCCTCTCCTCTCCTTCCTCCCTCTCCTCCTCCTCCCCTCTCCTTCTCCTCCTCCTCCTCCTCCTCCATCTCCTCCTCCATCTCATCCTCCCCCTTCCCGTCCTCCACCTCCTCCTCCTCCTCCGCCCCTTCGGGTCGCCTACGGCCCCGGGGGAAACCGTGCAGGGCCCACCCGACAACGGGATCACGGCGGGGAGGGCACGCAAGAGCAGTGAAAGAGGACGCGAGAAGATTAGGCGAGTTCAAAGAGGAAAACCCGACAAGCGACTTGTACGAGGTTCAACCAGTGCACCTCAGGATCGTCGACTCTGAGACGTCTCTGACCCAATATGGATTCGTGCCCCTTATTTTCGGCAGGGTGCCGATCAGTGTTGAAACGCAGCATGTGAGCAGCAGTAGCTTTGACTGTGGCGGGGGTGGGCAATGCGAAACTGAAGAAGACGCTTTGCCAGTA